TTGATTTATATAAATAATCATCAGAGCCAAGGGTATAAAATTGAGTTTTAAAACCATTGAAGTCTTGTGTTACATTAAAATGTCCCTGGGGAAATCAGCACATTTAGATTGGAAAAGATTCTTGAAATACAGCCCAGGGAGGTGTTTTCTGTCCCTGATCTTCTCATTCTGTTCTGTCTGAGGGTGCAGTTTCTATGTTACAGGTTGGGTTTCTTTGAAGAAAAATGGTTTTATTTGGACCTGAATTCTGAAATCTCAGAAGCTAAAACGCTAACGCTGGCCACAGGCAAGGCGTGTACTTTGTGGTATTTTAGTTGGAAATCATCTTGAGCTTCCTTCTCCTGCACTGAGCTGATATGTGCAGTTTCTGCAGTGTCTCAGCACATCAGTTCAGAGGAGAGTGAGGTCTGAGCACTTATAACATGCAATGCAGAGACTGCTGGCTCCAGGCCAGCCTCTTCCCCTCTGCGCATGGAACAGGGTGTAGAGGCCTTTGGAGAGCAGTGGCATCTTTGAGAGGGCAAGCTGTAGAGTGCCTGAGAAAGGCTGTACTATCATACTTTGCTCTCAATTTGCAAAGTGTCTCTTGTGAGCAAAGGTATCTAGATGATAAGATGGTGTTGACATGTACTATTTGGTGTTTGCATTTATCAGAGAAGGACAATTTCTGGAAAGCGTTTTGCAATACTGATCTGTAGCTGAGTAGCACATTGTAAATACTTAGATTGTAACAATTATACTGTTTTACTACAGATGTGTACACAGTCCCCTCTCTTAACTGATAAAGGCCCAGTTTTGTTTCTTTCATGTCTCTTGTTATGATAATTGTAAAAAAAAAGATTTAGGGAGAACAAGATATTTTGAAGTGTGTGGCCTCTCTTTTACGGAGATCTGCTTCTCTGTTCCATTTGCTCTCATCTCAGAAGAGGTGTTAAGAGTGAAAGAGGTTCTACTTGACCTGCCCCAGGAAACTAAGACATAGGAAGGTTGTGTTGTTGCTGTTCAAGTCAGAACCAATGGATAGCTGACCCTCTCGTGGGTTTTCAGAGGCAGTTAATCACACAGGAGGATACTGCCCATCTTTCTCCTGTGGAGCAGCTAGTGTACTTGAACCATGTACCTTCAAGATTGCAACACATCTTCTTGCCACTAGGCCACCAGAACTCCCTATAGGAAGGTGGTTGTGGTTGATGTTGTTGATTGCCATCAAGTCAAGTACAACTCATAGCAACTCTATGAACAAAAGACCTAATGCCTTTCTTTAATTGTCATTTCTCCAAGTTCATAGAGTTTCTGTAGGCATGTGGTTTAGGAAGTGGATGCTACTCCTGCTTCCAAACCTGTTTTACGTCTGTTTTACACTTTCCACATTGGGAGACCATTATGGTATTTGATACCCCAATGGCACAAGGTTCAGCATCACAACAAACCCAGATTGCCTCAGTACAGCAAATTGATGAAGAGTGATGTATAAAGTAGACGCATGTTCCTTCAAATATAACAACACTAGTCTCACTTAGCAGTGGTTAAGTGTTGTCAAGTCAAATGACTCATAGTGACCCTATGACCAAAAGACCTGAACTTTAGTGGGTAAAAAAGTTTAAGGCTCATGTCACTCATTCATTCACACATTGTCACCAGGTCAGAACCAATGTATTGCTGACTCTCCCTCCAGTGGGCTTTCAGAGACTGTAATTCTTATTGGAGGAGATTGTCTATCTTCTGTGGAGTACTTTAGGGCCAAGAGAGTAAAGATCATGTTCCTACCCTTGAAAAGTTTGTGCTCTAAATGGAGAGGAAAAGAAGTAAGCCATGAAATTTAATTAAAGATTTGATTAATGTATCAGGAAAGAGGAGACTGTAATCCCAGATTATGCTGTTGCCAGTTATCTAGAGAGCTGAAAATGGGACATGGGGGCAAAGAATCACGAGACTCTTTCTAAAAGGGTCAAAGGGAGTGAAAATAGCACAGCTCCTCATTGCCCCAAAGCAGAAACCAGCCCCATGAGAGCCACAGCAGCAGTAGGTGGTTCATTTATTTGTTGTTGACACACAGACTCACTGTTGAAGTACTGAAAATGGGGTTTATTGGAAAAGTTAGTTGGAAAGTGGGGGATAACACCCAATGCAAATCCAAGTTTTAGCCCAAGTTTCAGTGCACAATTCTTCTATTAGTCCAGGCTCTGGTTTTAGTTCGGAAAGCAGTTTTTCCATCCATCACCAAAGGCAAGAACAACAGAACCTGTAACTGTGGCTAGCACAATGCAAGAAATCTCGGGTCACGCCATACCACAGTTTTTCTACAGCAATGCCACAGTCTCTTCATCACCATTACCAAGCTCTCGCCACCAGGGTCTTGCTCCCAACAGGGTCTTGTTCCAGCCTCCCTCACATCTGGCTGCATCAAGTCTTACTCCTCAGTATGGGAAGCACTCTTTCTCTTAACCTTGTCCTACAGCTGCTGATGATTTTTAAGATCATGTGTCTACAGTTAAAGATAGCTGTAGACTAGAGGGGCTAACTGTAATGGCTTAAAAAAACCCAACTTTTAGGCTAACACTGCATCAGTGTTGTTAGAATCTGAGTTGTTTCATGATGTTCTTTCATGTTCTTTCTTTTAGCAAATATTTATTATTGTGCCAAGCATGGATAAAACCAATGAGGTCCCAGCACTGGCAAAGCTTATGTTCGAGAAGTCAGATTATCAAGTAACTGAACAACACAATTATAAAATGTTTCCCAGAGAAGACTTTCACCAATGAGATGATGTAAAATATTATCAACTGGTTATAATTTCACTTGCCATGTGGACCAATATTTGTTAACCATCTCTCTCACTGTGTTGTCAAGCTTTCATGACATATGAATGAGGGGTGATCCTCTCATAAACCAAAGGAAATCCATTTTATAGAACCAAACTGCCACTTACTGACCTTTTTAATTGTTGGGAGAAATGGCACATATCTAGTGAGTGGGCTTACTTTGTTGTTAGACACCATTGAGTCAGCTATAGCTCAGAGATCCTGTGAACAACAGACCTGAACCTTGCCCTATGCAATCCTCACCGTCTGTCATACACTCAAGCCCGTTATTACAGCCACTGTGCCAGTCTGTCTTGTTGAAGTAATATTTATAGAATCTTTGCCATTGTTGTTATGTGCCATGAAGTTGGAACCAACTCATAGCAGGTTTTCAGATGCCATTAATCACGCAGTTAACATGGTTTAATTTATATAAATGTCTGAGTGCAAATGATAAAATATACACTAAAAACGAAACTAACCAGCATTTAATCTCTTTCAGAAGCCAAGAAGAAAGCACCCTGCCCTGGACTTGGCTTGTTTTACACAGTGCTATCTGCCTTCTTTTTCTCAGTGGGCTCCTTGTTTGTTAAAAAAATAGAAGATGTCCATGCTGTAGAAATCAGTGCATTCCGATGTGTGTTCCAAATGCTAATCGTTATCCCTTGCTTAATATACAGAAAGTAAGTATTTCCTTTTTTAATTGATGTTTTAATGAAAGTTTACAGAAAACTTGGGTTTTTATTCATTCATTCATTGTTGCATGTCTTCCTCCCTGACCACTCCCTTTCCAAAAGTAAGTATTTCATAATTGCAAAGTAGAAGATCTTAATAAAATGTTGGTAAATTTTTGACCTGCCTAAATATTTTACAGTATCTACTCTGCTCACAAATGGGCCAGTTCCAATACCATTTGCCTCTGATTAAGTGAAAATTCACAAAGACACACCCACAGAAGATTGCTCTCACAAGCGCAAACCATGTGTTCAACTAAAGGGGAAAAAGAGATTTTGTTCACTGTCCCTCCATTTTGAAAACAATGCCTTGCTTTGTAATTCCCTGTCTTGTACCACCCTCCCTTTCTTTCTTGGGCATTCTGATATTTGAAAGAAAAATCATAAATGAAAGGAAATAGCAGTGTCTCATAGAGTCAGTAGTTTCTTTAGAAGAGCAGTCTAATTTCTTAGAAGAGCAGACAGGGTTATTGTTACATGCTGTTGAGTCGACTCCGACTCACAGCGACCCTATGTGCAACAGCTCTGAACTCTGCTCTATCCTGACCCAATTTCATTTGTCTCCAACACAGCTACCCCCATTACCTCAGCCACTGAGTCAGTCCATCTTATCCAGGATCTTCCTCTCTTGTGCTGTCCCTCCACCCTCTCAAGCATGTTGTTCCTTCTCCAAGGAACATATCCAAAGTATACGTCAAACAAAACTTCAAAATCCTTGCCTCCAAGGAGCAGCTTGATTTCCACAGGAGGATTATGTAGGGCAGTGGAGAAGTAACCTGAAGACCTTTAAAATTATGTTTATATTCCAGTTCTTCATCTAAGTAGGAAGGAATAGTACTTTCTGCTTCCTCTCCCATATAAAGTGGCAGCAGTGGTCAAATAAGATAAATGATAGATGAAGTCACTTAGTGTGGAACATCCTGGGTCTCCACTACTTTTCCCTTTCAGTTCATCTTCCATTTTCACGTGTACTCAACCCTCCCTCCCTGGGTTTAAAAGAAGCCTCCCATATATCATTTCAACACACCCCACTCTACTTAAAATCCTCCATCGAGAGATTAGCAAGGCCCCTAGTATCTGACTCTGTCTCTCCTTGGGCAAAGATGCTGACACTCTAAAATAAAAGCTAGAAAAATAATTATAAAAACAGACTTCACTTTTCAGTCACTTGCCACCAGAGCTCCTTTAGTTTCAGAACATGGCACTTAGAACTCAATGTCACATCGGTTGTCGTCCAATGGCCCTAGGAGTTGGTGGAAAAAGTGAAAATCTACTGAGATGAATATTTTCAGAATTCCCTGTGTTGTTCTCTTAGGTGCCATCAAATCAGCTCTGACTCTTAGTTGGTTCTGTATGCAACTGAACAAAAACTGGCCCATTCTGCACCGTCTTTACAGTCTGCTGTAATTGGGCCCATTTTTTGCAGTCAGTTTGTCAGTCTGGTTGAAGGATTTCCCCCTGTTACATTGACCCTCTGTTGTTTAACCTGCTTATGTTTCACTAGCATATTTAAAAAACCTTAGCTCCTCAGATGATGAGCCAGGCAAGACCTTGCTTTCATTTTTTTTTTCTTTTTAATTAATTTTAATACTGGCTTTCACTTTTACTCTACATTCCCAGGAGTGCCCATGTCGAACCTAGATGCTCCTCTAATCAGTGGATTAAACCCAGCCAGGAGCTAATAAATAGTTGACTCTTAGTAACTGTTTAATTGGGAAAACAACTTACTCATCGGAACATTACATATTCTTTTGTAACATATATTCTTACATAGCAGCATCATTTAACTTTCTTATTAGACCAGTGAAAAGTTGTCTTATATTCAATAATTGAATCAATTTTACCACTCCTTAGTGTGTATAGTAGCTGTGAAAACTAGGCCAGGAGCTCATTGTGGAACAGACCACCAACTACTCATATGCAAATTCAAGCTAAAGCTGAGGAAAATTAAACCAAATCCAAGGCAACCAAAATATGACTTTGAGTCTATCCCACCTGAATTTCAGAACCATCTCAGGAACAGGTTTGAGGCTTTGAACACTACTGAGCGAAGGCCAGATGAGTTGTGGGAGGATATCAAGGGTATCATCCAGGAAGAGTGCAAATGGTCATTGCAAAGACAGAAGAGGAAGAAAAGACCAAAATGGATGTCAGAAGAGACTCTGAAAATTGCACTGGAGCGCAGAGAAACCAAAGCACAGGGAATAATTCAAGATACTAAAGAGTTGAATAGAAGATTTCAAAAGGCAGCACGGGATGACAAAGCAAAATATTACAGTGAAATGTGCAAGGAGTTGGAGTCAGAAAATCAAAAGGGTCGAATTCGCTCAGCATATCTTAAGCTCAAGGAACTGAAGAACAAATTCAAACCTCGAGTTGCTATAATCAAGGATGCTTTCGGCAGAATGTTAAATGATCCAGGAAGTATTAAAAGAAGATGGAAAGAATATACTGAGTCACTGTATCAAAAGGAATTGGAAGACACAGAAGAATTTCTTGAAACAACATATGAGCAAGAGCCTATGGTGATGAAAGAAGAAGTTCAGGCTGCTTTGAAGGATATGGCAAAAAATAAGGCTCCAGGAATAGATGGTATACCAATTGACATATTTCAGTTAACAGATGCTGCCCTGGACGTGCTCACCAAGTTGTGCCAAGAAATCTGGAGAACGACCACTTGGCCAACTGACTGGAAGAGATCGATATTTGTTCCTATCCCAAAGAAAGGTGACCCAACAGAATGTGGAAACTACAGAACAATCTCACTGATTTCACATGCAAGCAAGATTTTACTGAAGATTATCCAAAAACGACTGGAACAGCACATCAGCAGAGAACTACCAGAAGTCCAGGCTGGGTTTAGAAGGGGTCGTGGTACTAGAGATATTGTAGCTGATGTTAGATGGATCTTGGCTGAAAGCAGGGAATACCAGAGGAATGTCTATCTGTGTTTCATTGACTATGCAAAGGCATTTGACTGTGTAGATCATAACAAACTATGGCTGACTCTGAGAAGAATGGGAATCCCAGAACACTTGATGGTTCTAATGCGAAACTTATACTTGGACCAGGAGGCAGTCGTCAGAACAGAGCAAGGGAACACTGCATGGTTCAAAATTGGGAAGGGCGTACGCCAGGGATGTATCCTATCTCCATACCTCTTCAACCTATATGCAGAACAGATTATCCGGGAGACTGGGCTCTATGAGGAGAAATGTGGAGTCAAGATTGGTGGACGATTTATCAACAGTCTGCGTTATGTGGATGACACAACCCTGCTTGCTGAAACTGAGGAGGACCTGAAGCACCTGCTGCAGAGTGTCAAGGACTGCAGCCTACAATATGGATTGAGGCTCAATGTCAAGAAGACAAAGATTCTCACCACTGGACCAATTGGTAGCATCAGGATGGATGGTGAAGAGATTGAGATTGTACACAGCTTTAGTTTGCTTGGCTCCATAGTCAACAGTCTTGGCACCAGCAGCCAGGAAATTAAAAGGCCCATTGCAATGGGAAAGTCTGCTGTTAGGGACCTGTCCAAAGTGCTGAAGAGCAATGGTGTCTCTTTGAAGACTAAGGTGCGTCTGATACAGGCCATGGTCTTCGCAATCACCTGTTATGCATCAGAGAGTTGGACAATGACCAAGGAGGATAAAAGGAGAATTGATGCCTTTGAGCTGTGGTGCTGGAGAAGAGTATTGAGAATACCATGGACTGCTAGGAAGACAGATTTGTCCTGGAAAGGGTTAAACCGGGTGGCTCCTTAGAGGCAAGGATTCTGAGGCTCCGTCTAACATATTTTGGACGTGTTGTGAGGAGAGACCGGTCCTTAGAGAGGGACATCATGCTTGGGAGGGTGGAGGGACAGCACAGGAGAGGAAGGCCCTCTATGAGGTGGATTGATTCAGTGACTGGGATAATTGGGATGGGAGTGTCAGAGACGGTGCAATTGGCACAGGGCAGAGTGGAGTTTTGGGCTGTTGTACATAGGGTCACTATGAGTCACAGGCGACTCGATGGCACATAACAACAACAGTGTTTATAGATTGAGAAAGTAAACTAGCAGGGGTCAAATTCTTTACACAGGACAACTAAATCTTAACATTGTATTACGACAATAACGTATTTTCATGATTGAAATTGAAAAGGACAATTGCCCATGTATCTACCTATAAGGTATAACTATTACTTATGGTTTAGCTTCTATCCCTGGGGTCTCTTGGTCTTTACAAGTCTGAATACGGTTCTGTGGGAGAAAGACCTAGCAGTTTGTTTCTGTAAAGATTACGGTCAAGAATCCTAAGAGTTCTCTGTGTGCTTAATATCAGCTTATCTATAGATGTACATACACAGGGGAAATTACCTATATTCACTGGGTAATAATTACAGTAACTAAGTCATTTTCTTGTAGTATTTTGTTTATACTGTGAACACCATCACATCATTAAGTGTACTTAGGAAACATTTAAAAAGTATATAATACTCATTTGTGGATGTTACCATAATTATCATTCTGTGTGTGTGTGTGTATATATATATGGCTTAAAAATAATTTTTCTGTTCAAAAGGATAATTTAAAGATCATTACCAAGTTTATCTAATAATGCATTAATGACACATTTCTTCATTTGAATTTACAGAACTGGGTTTATAGGCCCAAAAGATCAACGCATTTTCCTCATTCTGCGAGGAACCCTTGGTTCTGCTGCTATGATCCTTATCTACTATGCTTTCCAGGCAACATCCCTCGCAGATGCCACGGTGATCACATTTAGCAGCCCAGTGTTTACATCTCTATTTGCTTGGATATTTCTCAAAGAAAAATACAGCCTCTGGGATGCTCTCTTCACCCTGTTTGCAATCGTTGGCGTGATCCTCATTGTGCGACCACCGTTTTTGTTTGGCTCCAGCATTGCCAGGACGGAAGAAAGCTACTCAGAGCACCTTAAGGGAACGTTTGCTGCCATCGCCCACGCCGTATTAGCCGCATTGACCTTAGTTATCCTGAGGAAAATGGGGAAGTCTGTGGACTACTTTTTGACCATTTGGTATTATGTCATAATTGGCCTCCTGGAGTGCGTCATCGTCCTCTTCATTCTGGGAGAGTGGAGTCTGCCTTACTGTGGCCTGGACAGACTATTTCTCATATTCGTTGGACTGTTTGGTTTAGGAGGTCAGGTGTTTCTCACAAAAGCACTTCAGATTGAAAAAGCGGGACCAGTAGCACTAATGAAGACTATGGATGTGGTCTTTGCCTTTTTATTTCAGATTATTTTCTTTCATGACATGCCGACGTGGTGGACAGTAGGCGGTGCCCTGTGCGTGATAGCCAGTAGTACTGGAGCAGCCATTCGCAAATGGTGCCAGAATTCCAAATGAAGTGTGATTGTGGAAATAGGTGTTTTGGTTTTTTCCAAGCAGATATCATCCAGTTCAAACATACCATACACACCACCCCCTCCCCCCCACAAAAATCTGCATTTACTTCATTGATTATATTTAATAAATTTGTAATTAAAGTACCATTCTTGAATATGGTATGTCTTTAATTAGTTAAGACTAGACAGTCTAGGAATTATTTTTTATAGATTTTTTTTTGTTTGTTTTTCTCAGTAGAGAAGAGCTCATTATTTGAGGGGAAAAAACAGCAAAAATATTTTAAGGCATCTCTAAACTGTATGAAATATTTTTAAAGTATGTTTTTGGTAGTGAAGGGATGGATATAAGCAGGAGGAAATTTTAGATGTCTGTTTAGTAGTGTAGAAGTTTAAAAAACTTAACTAATAATAATGCTGCTGTATTTAGCATTACGTTGATAAATCATTTGCAATATACTTCTATTTAGGTGGCCAAAGCTGACACATACAATAGTTATCTACTTAAGATTTTTATGATATAAATTAAGTCACCCTATTTTCAAGGCTTTTGTAAGTGATAATTATTTTCTTAACCTATATTTGTGCCTTTTTATTTTAATGCTGGAGTTCTTATATGCAACCTTTTAAAAAGTATTTCAGTTGCCAGAGATGGCAAATGGTTTTGTTTCAAACTGTAGCTGTCATTGTATAATTTAATTGTCTTCTATGTTTTTGAAATGACACTAAAATTTTTCTAAACATTCTAAGATATGGGGCTTTTTAATAACTAGAGAAATTTTGGTATAGCCATGTGCTCATTCCCATCCTAAAGTGTATTCCCTCACTAGAAATATGATTTATTTAAGTTCCTCTTTGACTTTATAGCATGATGCCAAATAAAATTTTCTCAGGCTTTTATTAGGTTGAGCCATGTAAAATTGTCAACATTTGACCATTTAAAAAATTTTTTTAAACTACAGTTTTGTATGGGTCACTCTAATAGACATCTCTCATACACTCTAGACCAAATACTTAGAAGACTTCAGAATTTTTATATATATATATATATACACATATACATATATGTATGTTTTAAAAGAACTTTTTTATTTTATACAGATATACACATACATGTATTTTTTCAAATAATTTTTAAAGTGTAATGATGCTATTAAAGTTATTTTTATAATCTTTTTCTCCCTTATGGAATTATACATGATAATAATGCCTCCTGTTATATGTTAAATGTAAAAAACTATGAGTTGATGGTTGGCTTTTGTGATTTCTTGCATAAGGAGAAAAATCACAGTGAAATCACTAGTATACTAATGTAAAGTTCAGTGTCAGTGTTGCACCTGATGCTGACATGAATTCAAGCGACACATTTTATATTTGCAATTTTTCCAGGCTGGAGCTCTGCAGTTAAGAGATAAGAATTAATATCTAGAAAAGCTTGGAAAGTTAATCAAGAAGCCTAGGGAATACATACAAATGCTATTTCCTTTATCACAATGAACCCTTTATTGATGAAATGATGACCTCCAAATTGCCCCAGGCGTCAGACATAACGTGTTATTATTTTAAGCCTGCAGAGTTGAAAGATTATAGGCTCTTTCTTACCTTCTCATCACAGTTCTTCCAAAGGCAAGAGGAGCTTTGCCTATGGTGAAAAAGGATTGTTTCCAGTAGTTCCAAGGGGGATTTTTTTACTTCAAGCCCTTCCTAGCTGACAAACCCTAAATTTTATTTAAGGAAATTCAATCAGTGTAACTGAAGCCTAACCTACACTATTGGAACTTGCAAAGTTATGAATGAATCCTTTTGCAAGGTTCATGGATAATTAATAGAATTGAAGCATTTTAGAACTTAGAGTTCTCCTAGAACACCATCTTGTAGAAGCCACGGTCCACAAGTAAGGATGCTAGAGAGAGGAGACTGGCCCAAGATTGGCCAATTCGAGAAATATGTCAAGTCAATCACTCCTTAAGCTACCTAAGGTGACTTAACTCTCAGGGAGCCCTCTCTCAGTTCTTATATAAAAAAAGAGCCTCTTGAGTTCTTCAAAGTCAAATTCCTTTGGGCCTGTGTGTTAGATAAATGCTTTATTTCAACAGTGTGGTTTAAATACTTGAATATCACAATATATGACCAAGTTTGGAGAAAATATTTCTTCTCCCAACTTCTACAGGGTGTGATTCTTAGAACACTTTTGTAATGTCCAAGGTGTATTCATAGTTATGAATTGTAATAATTTTGGGTGTTTATATGTGCAAAGATTGTAGTTTTCTTTCTCTTGAAAAGGAAAATATTTTTGAAATGGCTTTTGTTTTCTAAGTCTAATAAATTAATATGGAAAAAGCTATTTTTTTGTTTTTATGATTTTAGCAAATACATGATTTAATATAACTTACATGCTTTCTCATCCATGGATCTCAAAATTCACTTTCTCTTGGAGATTGACCTCTTAGCCACTCAGGAGTGATGCCGTCTCAAGTTTTAAATTGTCCATCTGTCTGTGACTTTCACTTCAAATCCAAAATCTCCAAAACAAAGGGACTTTTTTAAACCTCCAGAGCTTAAGGCATCTACTGTTTCCATAGCTAATCTATTAATGCACCAGGCGGATTCACTTTTTTTCTTGATATTTTCACTGCTGCCATCTTAGTTCAAGGCTTATTACCTCTAGTCCAAATTGCCACAACAGTATCTTAACTGAGTGATCTGCTGCTGAATTCTTCTTTCCACCTTGATCCTTGTACCAATGCCACACTAACCTTCACAGTCCTTCACTACTGTTACTAGTCTGGTTCTCTTGACTTCATACAGCAAACAACTCAGTGCTGTCAAAGTGGAGCAACTCACCTACAACCAGGAGAAGATAAAATAGATGAATGGGATCTTCTAAGAATCAAATCCCTATGCACATCCAAAAACTTCTCCAAAAGGGTAAAAAGGGAAGCCACAGACTGGGAAAAAGTACTTGGTAAAGACATATAAAGGACTTATATCCAGAATTTATGAAATACTTGAGCACCACAACAAGATAAAGGTAAATAATCCAATAGAAAAATGGGCACAGGATATGAACAGACACTTCACCAAAGAAGACATTCAGATGGCCAACCAGCACATGAAGAAATGTTCAAAATCCCTAGCTCTAAGAGAGATGCAAATAAAAACAACTATGAGATATCATCTCACCCCAGTAAGAATAGCAAAATTTAACAGAACAGCAAGCAACAAATGCTGACAAGGTTGTGGAGAAACTGGAACCCTTATTCACTGTTGGTGGGAGTGTAAAATGGTGCAACCACTGTGGAAGGCAGTATGGCGCATTCTCAAAAAGTTGCAAATAGAGATACCATTTAACCCAGCAATTCCACTACTGGGAATATACCCCAAAGAGACCATAACTGACATCCAAGCAGATATGTGCACGCCCATGTTTATCACGGCTTTGTTCACAATAGCAAGGAGTTGGAAACAACCTAAGTGCCCATCAACAAACGAATGGATAGAGAAGCTGTGGTATATTCACACAATGGAATACTACACTGCATTGAAAAACAAGGAACTCGTGCAATATTATTCAAAATGGGTGACCCTGGAGGACATTATGCTGAGTGAAGTATCTCAGTCACAAAAGGACAAATACTACATGGTGCCACTTGTAAAACAGGACTGACATTGGGGTTGGGGGAAGACTGAGAAAGATGGGTTCAATAGTGTATACTACATTGAAACAGATGAGGGAGAAAACTATTTAAAAGGGATATGTGATTAGGTATTTTTGTCATGACATGAGTCCAGAGCAAAGGCTTTATAGTGGAGTGGACCTGGGGGAGGGATTGTAAAACAATGAAAGAATTTTTCTTTCTTTTTTCCAAGAGGGTAGAGTACTGGGGGGAGGATTGAGAGGGGAGAAAAGTGCAACCATGAATGAACGGAAATCCAAAGTCTCTGTAAATTTTCATTGAAATTAATAATTTTTTAAAAAATGGAGCAACTCACTCATAGCTGACCCTCCAGTGGGTTTTCAGAGGCTGTAAATCACACAGAAGATTGCCAATCCTTCTCCCTTGGTGCCTCTGGTAGATTTGAACCACCTGCCTTTGGGTTGGCAGTGCAATTTCTTAACCCACAAGGCCTCTAGAGCCCCCGTGTCTCTTCTTTCTCCCACTCACACTGAACCACTTTGGGAAAGTGATTAAAAGGCTGGAGCAGGAGTCCAAGATCTGGGTGTGGTTTTATCACTTTCCAGTTGGCCAAGTCACAGAGATGAGCCAATTTTCCTCATTTTTTAAAATAGAATATTACCTGTTCAATCCTTCAGACAAATGGGTGTGACAGAAGGACTCATAAGCCATAAAAAGTTTAAGAATTAAACTGTGGTTAATGCTCTAGAGCTGAGCATTCACCCTCTTCAGAAGTGTCTGCCCAGGTTTCTTACTCCTAACAGGTTTATCAGGATGCAAATCTCATTTGACGCCCTTCTGAGAACACAGTGTTCTGTTGCTGGACTCCTCCTTTAGTTCTTTGCTAATGTGTTTGCATAGGGCTGCCAGTGGTCACCAGTCCATTTATGTTGTGCATAAATATTGCTATCCTTCTGTTTCTAGCTCTGATCCTCTGCATATTGCTCTTAGCTTTGGCAGGCGAGATGGCCTGATTAATTCAGTGTTTCCCATTCCCAATTCCCTACTCTCAGCTTGCTCTTAGGATCTTAACTTCTTGCCTCTGGTCTAGGTGTCCATGGAACCCAGGATCAGGAGTAAACATTAGAATTTTATTATTAGAATATCAGTTAAGCATGCAAAGACTGAACACTACCTCCCCTGCCCCCCCAAACCCACCACTATCTGCCCCTTGATTTATTACATCAATTATAATTAGAGCTCTCTGTTCACCTAGAATCCTGCAAGATGCCTTATCAGAACCCTTGGTGATCCCCAAAGAAAGATCTATTTCATGTTTTAGTTTGAATGCTGGGTTTAGAGTTGGACCTGGAATTCCAAGTCTAAG